ACAAAATAAACCATAATTTTAGTCTTAATGTAATGCAACTTTACAAAATAGTATCTTATAACATTTTTAACTGGCTAACCATATTTAAAAAGCAAAACCTGAAAGCTTTCAGATAGAAATAAAATGTTTCATGTTTTTAATTATTGTCATCTGTATTTCTGTGTGTCCAGGGTAGCAAACAAAACTGAAACAGGTTACTATGGTTGCTTTTAAACATGTGTTTTGATTAAGTGCTTTTGACCGCTGAGATTTGACCTACATTTTAAAATACAAATTTATTCCATTTCTATATTTTTTTAAAATCAGAAAATGGCGCATTATTTTCTAAGTGTAATATAAACATGCAAAACATTAAAAAAATATTAATATGATAGACATAACTTGATTCTTCATTCTGAACTTAGCCCAGTCATATGATTATCATATCCCTATCTATGATTATAGAACTGAGACTGTAGGAAGAACAAACCTGTACTTTCAAGCTAGATATTGACCTTGCAAAAATGAAATGAAAAGACAAAAATTATAATGCTGTAAGTAAAGCTTTCCAGGACCAAATATAATATTTTTACAGAAATCCTCTATGGTAAAGATTTTTGTAACCAATCTGCAAGAAATATAGAAACATAAGTGCAAGCAATACTTCCCTTCTCAAATTACTTGGCTGTCTTCCAAGTATTTTTGTTTTTTATTTTTAATAGAGGAGAATATTTGTAGCTCCGGGCAGAAATGAGGGTCCTTGGTGCTCTCTGAGCTTGACTGTTTTCTTGGATTGATATTACCTAGTTTGGGTCATGAAACATCTGCAATATTTATTTATGAGACTTATATACCGCTTTAAGTGCAAGCACTCTCTAAGCGGTGTACACCAGTAAGCAATGTATATATATATTTACATTGCCCCCAACAATCTGGGTCCTCATTTTACCTACCCTGGAAGGATGGAAGGCTGAGTCAACCTTGAGCCCGTGAGATTTGAACCGCTGACCTGCTGAACACAGTCAGCTAAAGTGGTCTGCAGTACTGCACTCCTCTCATTTAATTGAAATACATTCAATTATTAAAATACTACAGCTGTATTATAGGCTAAATTTGTATCTAATTTAACCAGGTCTTCAAGTTGATGTGACTTTTTGAATCAGACTGAATTGAAGACTCTAATCAAAGCTGATCTCTACACTTGTATAAAATATGTCAAAACTCAAAGTTGCATAGCAAGAACTACAAAGATATTTAATGTATACTACACTTTCCTTGAAAACTGCACTATTAATTGGTAAACTGAAATAGAAACCATGTGTTACTGCTAAACTCATAAGGCTCATAAAATATTTGAACTTTCAGAAAGCAGAATGGGTGGTCTTACTAAATAGTTGCCATAAAGGAAAAGGTTTAGGAAAAAAAGCATCCATTTTTCAGAAGGCAAAATATCACCATTGCTATTATGATTAATTTATTGACCTGCTGAGGAGTATAAAAAAGTAACTTAGAGAAGAAATCATGTACAAGGGATGAATGGGTCCTGAACATCAAATCACCCTACTATGCAAAACACTTTTTTGCAAAAAGCAAACTAGCAATGCTTTGAAAACATCAGCTCACATCAAGATAGTACAAATTCAAAGAAAGAACACTCAGAGAATATAGATAATATTTTGTCAGTTTGATTATTTGTTTTTACTTATAGATCTCGAGGATGTCAACAGATCACATGGAATATTAAATCCTTGTCCCTTTCAGATATTTAAATAGTCCAAAATGTGACTGACCTCAAGTTAAGGTATACAATAAATGCCTCTGTAGGAGTGATATGTTCCCCATCTTATTCTTAAGTAAACTCCCCAAATCATACACTGGATGTAATTATTTCAAGTGTTGCGAGGTGGCCACAGTATGGTCCTAAAGTGTACAACCATTTCCCCCCAACAAAAACCAAAGTAGATTTTGCACGGTATGCCTCTTGTTACAGTCACTGGTCAATGATTTACTAGAGTACCCCCACTGGATCTATTAGTTTGAGTACGTAGGCAATTAGGACTTTCAAATGACTCATTTTTTTGCTGCCATTTTCTCCATTCTAACATCTGCAGGGCTTGTTCCAGCAATATAAAATGCATTAGATGTAATGGATTCAAACAATTTGTCATCATTTAGCACCTGTTGTTCAATAACTGGTCACTTTTTGTTGAATGAGTGGCTTGTCAGTGTATAATCAACACTGAACAAGCAAAGCCAAGACAGAGCATCTAATGATTGTCTAGCTTTAACAATGTAACAAGGTTTATTTAGATTAAAAAGAGTGATACAAGTATTAGAAAAACTTACTACTTGTTAGGCTGGCAGTTAAATTAAAATGCAGGCAAAGCTTAGGACACCCTCTTCCATTTGCAGAATCAAAATACAGATCAGAAATGAAATCTTAAGCAGAATGCAAGATGATTGAATCACTATATAAACCTATATATTTCAGAGTGACCTCAAGTAAAAAAAAATGGATAAAGGTCAGTACCTTCTTTATCAGTGCCTCTGGGAGTTTTGGGAATAATAGAGCTCAAGACACTAACTAATTTGACTGCAAGCATAATAGGTAGTCAGTTTTTCTAATACTTGTATCACTGTCTTTAAATAAACCTCGTTACATTGTTTAAGCTAGACAATGATGAAAGATTAATCTTCTTCTATTTGGATGTATTCGTTGATCATTCACTTCAATATTAAAGAGGAATAGTGCCAGCACCTTTTCTTCTGATAAGCCATTCCACTAAATTTATGGATGGTTGATTGTATTTGCCTCCAGGTTCTATACTAAAGTGGCAGTTTTGGCTGCGTGGATATTTTGTATTAGTTCAAAATCCTCTGTCAAATTATATAACTTGCAAAGTAATATGTGATGATTAACAGGCTGATATGCTGCCAAGAGATCAAAACAGCATGCATGATTTGGCATAGGAGTGAGATTGGCTAAAGGTTCTTTGGACCTGAAGGACCTTTGCCCAATTTCAACAATGCTACAACACTGATTGTCTCCATGTCTTGAATAGCTGTTTCAGACGCTTCTGAACCATTCTGGCAACTATTTTATGATGCCCAATCCAAGATATTTGCTCAATTTCCACATAATTAAGGCCAGAAACTTTACCAGATTTCATATACTTCATGGAATTTGCTACTTCTACCTCTTAAAATACTCATTTGATTCATATTCCTGCCATTTTTCTGTATTCTATTTGGAGACTTGCCATTTAGGGGTACGTGAGGGTATATCAATTCATTTGGCTGTTACATTATGATGTTGTTCTATCTTTTGAGGGTATTTGTTCATCTTTCTAATTGTACTCCAAACTTTCTTCTTGTTGGTTATGTTGGTATTCTCAATTCCCATCTAATGCTAAATCATTTTTAATCAGCATGGCTGTAAGTGGCCATCTACCCACTTGAAGGTAACACCCCCCCCATGTAAAGGCAAGTTGAAATACAGAGGCATGTAGCTACCAATGTTTCATCCTTGACTCTTATCTCCTATAGAAGTAATATCTTCTGGTGTAGTATATTTTAAAATACTTATCTATAATGGGGTGAGCATAATGTAAGATCATGAGTATAATGGTGCCACAGCTTGTTGAGAGGTGCCAAAGTTTAATATTTTTCTGGGTCAGATCTTAGATCTATTATTGCTATGTCAAAATCAGTGATGAAATGCTCAATTCACAAGTGGCAACTGTAACAAGGAGAACTTTCCCTCAATTATGTCTGCTGTACAGTAGCATCCCTTTCTGTCTATGACAGATATCACATTTGGCTTCATCTTGACTACTGCAATCCATTGTATAAGGGCCTACCCTTGAAAATGGTCTTAAAGTTGCAATTAGTACAAAATGCAGTAACTAAGTTGCCGATTGGTACAAGATATAGAGATCATATGATCTTATACTGAAAGGTCATTTGCTTCCTGGGCACCTCCTAAGAAGCCGATATTGACTTTTCCCATTAATAACCTATTGGTCAGTAACATCAAGAGGCCAGGCTCTTCTGAAGAAGCCCTGCAGCCAGAGGCTTGAATTTCTAACACAGGGGCATTTTTTTTTCTTTTTTGTGTTGTTTTCAACCTACATTCCATTGGGATATATAGTCTCCACTTTCTCAGCATTTAGGAATTCTGTAAATATGAACCTCCTCTGCCAGACTTCTAATTAATTGATTTAATTATACTTTTAATGCTAATTTTAACTTATTCTCTTAAATTTTTTTTTGTTCTCTTTTTTGCTTTTAAAATTTTGGTAGCCAGTTTGAACTTTTACCAGAAAAGAAAGTTGAGGTAAAACTAAATAATAAAAAGTATGTATTAGCTCTGTTTGCTTTGATTGTTCCCCAACGTCACTTCCTTCAGTTTATCTTTCTCTTCCCCCCCCCCCCTATGTTGTTCAGCATTCATGAAATAATTTTTATATCAACCAGTGCCCATGTGGATCCTAGACCCAGAAATAAGTATGGGGCTGGAACTATATTTTCCAGTATACTAATCTCCCATTTTTAATTACAAAACATTAAAAGATATGGCACAGAAAGCCTGGAAAGCACCATCATTTACATCAAGGTTATCCTCACAAATTGTTTAGTCTTTCAAAGCCCAAGGTAGCAAACGATGACATATTGGATAAAGTTGAACTTCAGATTCCATCAGGCCTAGCAAGTAAGGCCAAGAGTGAGGCATGATTCAGTCCAACAACATTTGCAAAGTGACACCTTGCTGTCTCTTGATTTAAACAATAAGTCCTCCTTAATGATATGCAACAATTGTTGATTATTATATTTTGTCAGAAATATTTTTGAGTTCAATATTTTGAGGTTGGTTCTATTAAGATTTAACTTTGATCATAATAACATTTCGTATTTTCCTTAATTTGGTACATTCTATAAAATTATGTGTATTATGTTAAAGAGAAACAAGTCTAAAGCAACACAAGAGCAATGAATCTTATATTAAGACAAATTTTACTTACTAGTTACAGCAATATTGATCTCGCCTGTCCTTGGAGTCAGCTCTCCATCCTGGGGAAATTGTGATATACCAGAAGTACGTAGGGGTTCAAGAGTGAGTGAGCTGTCACTGCTAAGGTCACCAAGTACTGATCTCCTGTTACCTAGCTGGCTTCTGGTTAGCCTTTCCATGTCAAAGGCCATATTGTCAGCACATGGTACATTTGTCTGAAAATAAGTATTGCCATATAAATGTATACTATTTTTACACTGCCAGCAAAATTATACATTCATGAGATAGTATCATGAAATTTAAAACATAAATACCGACACCAAATGGGGATCCCATCCATTAAGAACTTGGTTCAAAATATTATCAAATTGAGCATTCCCCCCCCCAATGTTTATTCCCAGTTATGTGCGTGTCTTTCTTCATTATACAATCTATTAATTAATCAAACTTTTTTTAGAGGTCACAAACAGCAGTATACAAACAAAATAACCAACAAAATAGGCGGCATTACATTCTCTTCAACTTTATTCATAATCTCTCATCCCCAATAGAGATGGCCATTTTCCAAGTGGAGTTATGTTTTAATTTGGTGATGTCATAAATGTGACAAAGAAATTCAGTCTATTTTTTTAAATCTGGGAGGTTTAACAATGCAAATCAGATTTAATCTCTTTAATCTTTTTTCACTTTACACTTTAAGTGTAACATTTGTGTTTCCTGCCACAAATTGGTAGGTTGCGCCTGGATTCAGCTACATGATCTGAAAGTGCTCTATGAGCCATAAAATGTGGTTTGTACTGATTTTAGGATGCTCATATGGTTTGTACTGATTTTAGGATGCTCAGTTAAATACTGCAAAAGTATTTATCTTAATTTAATTTGCCCCATTTAGTTTATTTGCAGTTTTTCACAAGAGTAAAGAGCAAAAATAGAATATATTAATCTCAGGCTAAAATAAATATTTTTCATTGGGTGCATTAATGAAGGTTGCCTTGGTTTCTATCACCAACAACCCAGAAATAGTAAATACGTCTTTAAAGTACGGAAATTAGATTAAAGTCTGTTTCTTTAATGGATTAGTCTAGTTTAAAGATGTTTTAATAGAATAAATTTGTTTTGTGAAATAGGTATTTTATAGAAAATAACAATTACTTAAAGGTTTCTTATGTCAAAATAACCAAGTTTAATTTTGGCTTTTTCATGACTAAGGATTTTTAGCAGAAAATGTCAAACTGTAACTAATAAAAACAATCCTGAATGATCAAAGGTTTTTTGAGTTATTACTTCCAAATGTACTGTTGGGATAGCATGGCTGTTTCATGCAAACCACTAACGCATCTTGGAACTTCTGTCTCTTGTTAGTGAATTTGTGATTTGAAGTATTTTAGAATGCATACTTCAATAGTATTTTCTGTAAGCTTCAACTCACCACAATTCCCAAGGCCTTCAAAATATTCAGTTTACACATAGGACAGGTACAGTGTTCACTTAACCATGGGTCTACACAGGTTTTATGAAAAACATGCCTAAAAATAAATGGGAATAATTGTAAACCATTAATATATGGCAGAGGTTATAATACTGTTGATTAGAATTCTGAATAATTTGTCTGGGAATTTTAATAAACTGACATTTGTACTTTTAGCTATATTAGTATATACATTTTAACTGGAACTTGTGCATTGCATATTTCAAATATATTTTTGCTTCTATTGTTATTTTTCTGAAAGAAAAAAGTAAACATGAAGAAAGAAGTAAATGAGCTAATACCTGGCTATGTAAGGCTTACTAATGAAAAATATTTCACAGTTGTATACAAATTGCTCCTTCTTTTATATTGCCCAAAATATGTATGGCTATATATAATAATTCATTTGGCTCTATCTTGTGTTTATTCTTCTGCCTTATCTTTAAGCAATAATCTCATCGCTAGATTGCCTCATTCTATTTCTTTTTTTCTTACTCTGTCACTCACACTTAGCAACGAAGAACCATGTAACATAAATGTAGATAAAGTACAAGAAGTTTGTTCCTGGACCTTTATCTATAATAATTTTGTAGATATCTGTTTGCTTTATTTATGGAAATGATTTTGAGATTGTTATTAAGTGCAGTAATTTAATAATTTAATTGCCACCTCACAATATAGAGTCTCCATTCAATTCCCAGTCCAATCCAATCAGTAGGTTCCATGGAGTTCCACTTAAAGAGAAACTGTATATCTGTGGCAGTCCTTTCTGCAGACTATAGTTTGCAATCAAAAGGATATGTGCAATGTCTTCCGCAACTTAAGCCAAGGGCTAAGAAAAGAAACTTGCGCAAACGGATTCACATATCCTGTTCACATTTATACCATCAGCAGTTAAAAGTCATCAAAATGTAAATGGAAGAATGTATTAGTCAAGTGTATTTGCTTTTGTAAATTATCACAGCTTTTGGGGTATACAGGACTATTTTTACTTGCCTTATATGGGAGAATTAGCTTTTATTCTTTATTATTTTATTATTATTATTTATTTAAATGTATTGGCCACCTAATTCTAGTGGACTGGGGCAGTGTACCAAAGTAGAAAAAAAAACATAAAACAACCACTTTAAATATTCTAAAAGTGCAAGATAGAAGAAAGAACTACCTAAGAATGAAAAAGAAATATAAAAAAACAATTATTATCTGGATAACATAGTCAACCTTGCATGTTTTGATAAGTCCCTATAAAGTTGAAAGCTCAAGCCTAACAGTAAATGGGAGACTGGAATAGCAATGGAAGGCTTCATATATGAAAGATGACCTCAAACGTGAACAGGATATACACACACACACACACATATATATATAGTCGTACCAATAAAGGAGAATATTTGTAGCTCAGGATTGAAATGGGGTCCTTGGTGGTCCCTGAACTTGGTTGTTTTCTTACAGATATTTCATTACCCAAACTAGATAACATCATCAGTGCACTGATGAAAATAGTCATGCTCATCAGAAGAAAATCATAACTAAGGCCCCCTAAGCCCAGGAAGCTAATGACAGGAGTAGCAAAACAATTTTAAAATGCAATTAATTTATTTTGTAGAATAAAACAAATATCAAAAGAGAAACTATTGGCTTACTTGCATGGCAGAATGCGTACAACATCATTTTGCTTATAGCTTTCAATGCAAACAGCGCAGTGATCAAAGTCTGGATCTGTTTCCTAAAATGAACAGAGTGAAAATTCCAGTAAGATCTACCGGTATCTACAGCAGATACTTATAGCAAGCAGCCAATGAGCAGAAGGGCTGAAACTATTCCAGGAAGAATGTTTATTTACTTACTAGATTTCTATTTCACCTTTCTTCCAGAAGCTCAAGGGAACTTATTTTAGAATCTCTCATTTTTATTCCCATGTCAGATTTTGCCAGGCATAGCTATCAAGTGTTTAGAAACCCAGTTTCACATATAGTAGCAGAAGCTTCACAGCCTTTAATATGGCTAAGATAAATTCTTTACTGCAAGTAGGAAAAAGGTCTTACATATGCAGAAAATCTGTTTACTGGAGAACACAGGATCAAGCCCTGTATGCATAAATCGGTCTCAAGGTTTAAATCTGAGACCTTTTCCTTCCTCCTTTTTGAAATCTGAGCATAAGCAACCGCCCATTTCAGGTTTATATATCAGCTCTGTTTTGCCTGAAATTGCAGAGTCCTGCCTACTTCAGTTTTTCCATCCTGAGAGCCAGAATATGATATAGAGAGATCATAAAAATAAATCATACGATTTTTATTTAATACAATCTGAATTAATTATCATCCTATTATTAAAGGGAAGTACTTCTCACACAAAATTTGAAACATTAGTTACAGATCCCTTACGAAAGTTCCACTGATGCAACTACTGCAGTGGTAAAAAGGAACACATGTCCTAAAAGCTGGGTTGTTCAAACAAATATCTTTCTGCTGCCCAATTCTGTATAATCTTAAATGTCTTTCCTGAGTTACAAAATTTATCGGTAGGACTGTACAAATACTAGGACTAAAGAAAGAATTTCCCATTTAACGTATAAACAAGCCTTTCTTTGACAAATAACAGCTATGTACTGCCCACATCAATCTGCAATCATGTTTCTAAAACCATGATTTTATGATTTCAGGACCTTTATTTTAGATTATAATCTTCAATTGTGGCATACATAATGTGTACATTTCTTAGTATAAGAAAAAAAAACCCTTCCCCCTGCCATAACATTAGCAATCTCAGTGTTTGAAATAGAGAACTACTATTTCATACTCTGAATTTTGATTGTCAATACTGATGAATGGCAGATATATGTCTGCCAACAGTAAGCACATCTGCTGCTGCTTCTTGCATGATAATCTTGATGTCTTTTTATCTTGGATTTACCTCCCTGTAAAGAAAACTCCAAAACATGCCTTAGCACATTTTTGCTATTAAACTTTCCCTTAATAAAGGTGCTACAGGACAATAAAGTTTGTGACAATTCAACAACAAAAACTAGAACTGATTTGCATACACAGAGAAGCCTTATTTATTTTTTTCCCAGAAAAACCGCACTGGATCAAAGCCTGACTGGTATATTTCCTGATAAACTCCTAGTAGTCTTGTATATGATAAATAGAAACAGAGGTATTACAAACAGCAATTAGTAAGTAAAAATTATGAATGGTAATAAAGTACCGTGTTTCCCTGAAAATAAGACCTAACTCCAGAATCAAGCTATGGAGGGGGTGGGGGTAGAGCTGCCCCACGCACCCCGCACTCGCTTACCATAAGACCGCTACAGCCAGACCTCCCATGCCCCAACACTTGTCATGCCGCTGCTCGAATTCTTCTGTGGCCGCTTGCGGCTGCATGCTAACTGGCGCATTGCATTGGTTCATCTGCCCACGGCAGGATGCTGTGTGGCTCGTCGCAACAGTGCTGTGACTTGTGGCAGGCCACATGTTGCATCATGCCGGTGCCTCCACTCGCACGCACCATGGCACAAAACACCACACAGCTTCCTGCAGCGAGCAGCGTGACAAGCTACACGGCCTCCTGCTGTGAGTGGTGGCACCGGCGTGATGCGCCATGTGGCATGCAGCCGCAAGCAGTTGCAGAAGAACTTGGGCAGCAGTGCAACAGGTGTTGGGACGTGGGAAGCCTGGCTGCAGCGGTCCTAAGGTAAGCAGGTAAAATATCTCCCAAAAATAAGACCTGGTGCCTCTTTTGGAGGCAAAAAAATATAAGACCCAATCTAATTTTTGGAGAAACACAGTATAAAATAGTAAGTCAATATCAATTATGTAAAACTTATTTCAAAATTAGTTTAATCATTTATTACTTTTGTGCCCATCTTTCCTTCAGGAACTCAACAGGTTATACAAGGCACTCGGTGAACTTCCATGGCTGAGGATAAACTTGAACCTGACTCTCCCCAATGCCAAACTAACACCATAATTACTACACAACCTTGCTCCCACAGATCAGCAAGAGCAAATGGGTATATGAAAATTTAAAATAACCTTTCTGGCTGTAAAGGGCATAACTAGGGCAATAGGAAAAATATACATAAGCAGAGGAGATAGCTCTGTGAATAATTACTGAAAAATGGACCAATCACTGAAGTTAAGTAAATAAACTGGAAAGAAGACACAGCCAAAGACTAATGACAGATTTTCTAATAAAGTAACAGAGTGATACCTTATCACCTTTCTTTACAGTTCTTGCTGTTAGTTTACCAACAGCTTTTTTGGCAGCATCTCCAAGACGACGCTTTGAAGAAAAAAAAAGGAAACAGTGATTAAGTATTACAAAAACTGTACTTCTTACATTTGCTTTGATGCTTATACTGGATGGTACTTTATAATATTTCAGTTATTTTATCTATCCATCCACACACAGACATACATTCTAGGGGGATTTGGAAATAGTATGTGTACAACAAGGATATTTTTGTAATTAAAATCTCTTTAACCAAAAATGTGAATCTCTTATTTTATGGAATCCAAATTAGTAACAATGTAGACTGCTGTATGCAACATAGTCCTCAACATGCCATTTAAATACAAGTCCAAGGGAAGCTCCAGTTAGTCTACTATAGATAATGCTTCATTTCAGTCTAATCTTTCTGTGAAGAACTTTTCAACCTGTCAAATCTTTCTCTAAAATCTTTCCATTAAAAATAAATAAATAAATAAACCCCCCCTTTTATCCCAATTTTACTAATTTTTAAATTTTTGTATCTGCATTGTTGTATCTTGGTTATTATTAGGAAAACATTTTTATGCCATGTCACTACCTACCAATCTGGGCCTAGTTAGTTAGGGTTGCATGTATTCTATACAAGCAGTATTTTTAAATCTGTGAACCTCAGCTAAAGAAATTATTTTGTATGATCATTACATGCATTGTGGGCATGTGCATCAGCTACATGCAACCACAGCATTAACAGCTGTTTTCTCCTTTAAAACGGCTAAACATTTTCAACTGTTCTTTAGCTGTTGCTATTTTTTCATGAAAGTTTAATAAGACAAGCTTTTTAAACCATATAAAATGTTCATTAAGTTTCTTCAACCTTTGTAAAATACTGGAGAAAGAAAAGGTCTTAAGTTTTTAACCTATAGAATAACTATTTGATATGGATATCTCAAATGTAGACTACTGTATATATGGGATCACTGCGTTCCAAGTGCTTACATGATATATTTTTCAAATGGCAAAGAGATGAAAAAATGAATTTTGAAAATAGAAATAATTAAACACTATAAACAGATATTTTAGTTAGATAAAATGACTTCATCGCTATTGGAATGGGTAATATAAATAAGATGAAAAACAGTATGGTACCTGACTTCCCACACCTTCCCAATAACAATGTCAAAACAAGAACATTTGAACACATTGGCAAAATCTACAGAATATTTTGTATATTTTATATCATGACCAAATTTGTTTTTTAAAATGTCTTTCTAATGCATTCTATTTTAAAAATCTCTGCATACAAATGTACATATTTGTAACAATACTATTTAAAAAGTGTTGACTTTGGAACAATATGGAAGTTTTAGTGTTAGCCTGAAGAAACAGAACAATATTATTTGATACTTCCTTTCAGAAGTATTTCCATAATATAATGTATTGTTATCATGGGATAGCAATAAATCAGTTAAACTGTATTTATTGAAACTTTGTTATCACTGCTATTGCTATTAGCAGATGTAAGTCTAACATGTGCACTCTTACTTAGAGGTGTAATCCTTTTTCATTCAACTATATGTATATATTTTAACACCCTTTCCCATTTCAATAAAACTTTTCTTGAAAATATTACCAGTTTAATATTCCCCTTTAAAGACACACTTCTTGTAGCTAACCCATCACAGCTATAAGCCAGTAAATCCTGTCAGAATAGAAATTATTTTAAGGTAGTGATTATTTTTAGGTAATTGCACACTCCAATTACATGCATGTTGTAATTGGAGAGGAGATACCAAAGACATAAGCTTCTGAAGTTCATGAAATATGAAACTCACATACTACTGTTTCCCGTTTGCTTTAATTAATATCTGAAGGATTTCTGATGTACATCATGAATTCTGATGTAGGAAGATAGGCTTTATTTATTTGTTCCCTATCATGAGGCTACTCTAGAGAGCTTATAAAAAATAAAAAGGAAGAAATGAAAAGAGTGTGAACAGAAGTAAGATAATAGAATAAAATAAACAATGAAAAATAACTCAACGAGAAATATAACTATATGATCATGGCTGTTTTGTATACAAGCAAGGGAACTACAATAATCAATATTCAAAGTAAAAAATCCATCTCAGTTTCTGATGGAGACAATGAGAATTGCAAAGGATTTTCTAATATTATTAGTCTAGAAGGATTTTTAAACATGAACAAAGTCTACTGCTTTTTCAAGGGGGATGTTTTGCTGATAATTGACCGAATAAACAGTATTTTATTTCACAAGAGATCCTGGGTCTTCTGCATGGGAGTGCTAAAATTCTCTTATCTAATGTGAAAGCCAGGAAAAAAGATATCCAGCTCAAGGACAAAGAATGAAGCAGAAGAGAGAATATATCTGCAATGATTGCTCAGGGAATGAGAGAAGTAAGGTAGGGAAAACCTATTTTGGTGCCAGTTACTGGCAGAATCTCTGGATTAGACAACTAATACCTTTCGTCTCCATAAAGGAAAAATGCTCTATAGCAGTGTTTCTCAACCTTGACAATTTTAAGGCATGTGGACTTCAACTCCCAGAATCTCACAGCCAGCAATGCTGGCTGTGGAATTCTGGGAGTTGAAGTCCACATGCCTTAAAATTGTCAAGGTTGAGAAACACTGCTCTGTAGCCTGTATCCATTGTGGTATGACTGCCAGCTAGAAAGTATCTTCCCCAACTTCCCTCCTGTGAAGGGAACCAGGGGAAAAAATTGCAGTGCCCTGAATCCCCTCTTCCTTCAGGATTGCAGAATTTCTTCTCCTGGGTTAAAATGCCCCTTATACCACAGCAGTTAATTGTTATAAAGAGTGCTTGGATATTTATATTTAGGCAGCTAATAACAACATTGTATCCCACAACAGTTTGAATGACAAAGCACTTTTTCTCAACCAATAGTCTGATTTTTTTATAAGTATTTCTCCAGCACTCTAAAGAATAAGTGAAGTTCACATAGAATAAACCAATTTTATGTCACTATTGTTTCTTTCTTTCTCTGCTGGTGCTCTTCAAATCTGTTCATCAAATTCCCATTCCTCAACTTACAACCACAACTGGGACCAGAATTTCCAAGGAGGTAGTTGTGAGTCACATCTTTTTTATGACCTTTTTTTGCCAAGGCTGTTAAGCAAATCACTGCAATTGTTAAGTGAATCATGTGGTTGGTTAAGCGAACCTGGATTTCCCCATTGACTTTGCTTGTTGGAAGCAGCTGGGAAGGTTGCAAATGGTGATTTCATGATCCTGGAATGCTATCATAAATAGATGCGGATTGCCAAGTGCCCAAATTTTGGCCATGTGACTATGAGGATGTTGTGACTGTTGTAAGTTTGAGGACTGGCCACGTCACTTTTTTCATTGCCGTTATAACTTTGAAGAGTTACTAAATGAATGGTTGTTAAGTTGAGGAATACTTGTATACTAGATCAGAGGTCCCCAACCTTTTGGGCACCAGGGAATGTTCCGTGGAGAGAAGTTTTTCCGCTGACCGGAGTGTGCATGGTTTTGTCTGCTGTTGCATCCCACGGATGGGGCTTTGCTCATTTGTGCAGACTGGTTGCTGGCATGCCGCGGACAGGTACTGGTCCACGGATCGGGGGTTGGAGACCCCTGTATTAGATTAAGTATTAATGGCAAACAAGGGGAAAGTTATCCATTGTGTATGGAGGGAATTGGCTAAGACACCAAAAGCTTATATTTTGTGGAAAAATGAAATGCCCAATTGGTCTATGCTAATGTAAACAGTTAATGTGCACTCAGTATAACATATAATTACTAAGCTTTAAAACTAAGGAACAATTATTGAAAAAAAATCAACAAAACTTCGTTTGTGTTTGTGTATGTGTGCATGTAGAGAGAGGCAGATCTATATACAGTCATGAATATATATTTATGTGCACATATGAAAAATAGTAATTACATTCTAGTAAGGAACTTTCAAAACTAAAAAGAATTAACTCCTCTTCCTACCGATTTCAATATGCTCCAACTCTTAGTCCAATATGTTTGTGCAGTTTATTTTTAGATGGGAGTTCTATCAGTCATTTTATCTCAAATGCCTCAAATTTGCAGCTGACATTGTAGAAATTTAATAGAGGAAAGCTGCATATACAATGGCAGACCAGTGCTTGCATATAACCATGTTTTATTCTTTTTCGTGAAACTGAATGGGTGCAACTAACTGTTGTTGGAATTCCAAGTGCAGACCTAGCTAATATTTGGAGACCACAAGAAAACCTCAGGATTTTCAGCTGGAGTTGGAAGTAAAAAACCAAAAGAAGACATGAGGAAATGAAATCCACTTTTATATTGTTACCAAGAAAACTATAGGGATAGTTTAATTCATGAAGTTTTATATCACAGAATGTGTTTAAGTTTGACTTGAGTTTTTAAAGTTTGACTCTAACTAAAGCAGCATTCTAGATTGTCAGTTATCAGTGATCTTAGTATTCAAGCTCCTTTCAATCCAAGATATTCCAATTCAAATTAACTACAGTACTTTAACATAGAGCCATAGTTTCTCTGAGATAAAAAGAAAACTAAGGAATAGTATAAAAGAAAAGATCTTTTTTCAATATAGCTTTGATATTGCTAGTAAATACAGTATATTTACAATGTTTTTAATGCCAGAGAAATGACACCTGCATTTCACATCCATAAAAGTAAAGACTGCATTACAGTCCAACTGACACAAAATTAATCCTTAACAAATTGTACTTTTCAGAACAATTAACAGAATCTGTTCTGTCTTTAATAATGATTCTGTTTGTCCTTATCCCTTAAAAACATCAGCTTAAAGTTCCAAATGAACTTCCTTACAATTTAATGGGCAAATATAGGAGCATCCATTCTAAAGTAGAATAGAACTTTTCATGAGTATGGTAATGCTATTCTTTCAAAACCCTTCAAAGGTAGCCCATTCAGAGTGATTTTTTTTTTTGCTGAACAACAATAATACATAGTTACTGTGATTGATTTCATTCTTTTTACCAGAAACAGAGTTATTTTACAACATTAAAAACAGAATGGAGAAATAGCTCACCTAAGCAGGAGACCTTTTAAAGTTAATACATTTCCTGCAACAAAAGCATTGTTTTTGTTTTATAAATTAAAAAAACTAAACATTCAGCAAAGCTCCTTTTGCATTCTTAGTATACATACATATTTTTATCAAGGCATTGATAAAATTTCAAATTCTTTATGATTAGAATGATTACCTGATTTCGATCACGTGCACTGGTATATCTAATCTTCTGAATGAAATAAAATATTAGCCATGCTGAAGAAATTATCATCAAAACTATAAATGATACGGATACAAAGACAAGGGAACTTCGATTAACATTTTTGCTTGGATGGCGTGTTCCCACGGCTATTGCAATTAGGACGGACATATTTTTTTCTAAATAATTCAAGATTTCTTTAACCTTCATTTCAGTGATCATGACCGTAACAATGTCTCCAGTTCCTATAATAAACAAATAAATATACAGGAGAAACCATTTGAGTGATATGCTAATATACATACATAGTGCTATATTAGAAAGCAAGAACTCTTATTAAATTTAGGGTCTTTTAAAAAGCTATAATTAGTAACATAAGAAACTAAGAAATAATCAAAATCTTCTAAGTAATATATTCATATATGTCACAAGTATCTCCTTACTATAATTTAATTTCAGAATGATATATTGTATATTTTAACTGCTAATTATAATATCTTCCTTCTATGATTAGGGCCTTGACGAGGCGAAGGGGCTTGTATGGGTAAATGAAATCATGGACTATGTCTTCAGACATATATATATGTTCAGAAAGGTAACCCAAGGCGAACAAGCCATGATAGATACCCCAGACTAACACCGATCACATCTGCCAACCCGCATTGGACCAGGGTGGCAGAGTATGGTCTCAGTTTCTTTCTACAAGACATGGAACTTACTCCAATGTAAGGCAGCACCGAAAAGAAGAAATTAAACAAGAGGAATAATTTTGAAAATGCAACAATTTCAAAATACTGGCTTTATGAATTCCCATGTGAACAAGAGTCAGAAATTCAGGAAAACTGTAACACTGGACAGTTAGCAGAAAAGAACTTTCATTATGGATCAAACTCTTCCTTGCTGAAAAGGCCCAATGAAAGCATGCTTACAAATTATATACATTTATTCTAATATATTAGTGTGTGAAAAGTCATAGGAAAAAATATCTTAAAAAGCCAGAATTCAAAGTCATCTGATAGTATTGACTGGAAAAAGGTTGAAGACCAACAACAGCAGTAATTATTAACTAAGATATTTAATTATTACAAAATAAACTGACAACATAACCACTGTTAAACTTTCACTTCAAATCCACTCCCATCAAGGTAAACTGTAGGAATAGGGAGTAGGGCATTACTTGGTTCAGAATAACAACCAGTAACATTTATTTATATAATTGATCACAACCTGTAGTTTTAATTAAATATACTTTTTAAAAGCTCCAAATAACAGATGAAATTGACTGAGCTGAAAGAAAGGTCTGGTATCTTAGTTCTTACCTTGATGAGTCATGGTAACAGGCTCATTGCCAGATACATTGTTGTAAATCACAACAGCTGAAGCATTATGTGAAGCTGCTCGCAGAATTTTTTGTTTAAATGTACAATTTCCTCGCTGCAGTAGAGCAATCCACTGCTTTGTATTTGGAGGAATCTGAAACCGTGTTCGTGGATCGCATCCTAAACGATCTGGAACTAAAAATATAGAATAGAGATTCTAATTTAATGATGTAATTCAAACGAAAGTCCCATGATACACTGACTAAAATATTTTCTAATTACCAAACCACATCAATTAGCATAATTTCCAAAGAGAATGGGGGGGAATGTTCCAAAGGGCAGGGGCAGCAGCCAAGAAGGCTCTCTTTCTGGACCCCACCAATTAAAATTCTTTAACTGACAGAGTCCCTGCCTGACTGGATGGGTCAGGCTGATGTAAAAATGGTTCCACATGTAGCATGGCCCCATACCATCGAGGGCTTTAAGGTCACAATCAATACCTTTAACTGGATCTGGCAACAAACTGGCACCCAATGCAGGCCTCACAGCAAAGGTATTACATGCAATGTCCCTGGGGTGTCCAAGAGTGGTTGTGTGGTTGCACTTTGTACCAGCTAAAGCTTCTGGAACAGTTCAAAGCTATCTCATGTAGAGCGCATTGCAGTAGTTCAAATGGGAGATGACCAGGGTGTGAGTGATAAAATGAAGAGCCTCCCTATCCAGGAAAGGTATAACTGGTTCACAACACAAAGTTGAGCAAAGGTCCTTGTAGCCATGATTGCCAGCTGCTCTCTGAGCAAGAGCTATGAGTCCACGGTTTAACTGGATAAGTCCGTTCCCTAAGCATCTCTACAGAGCTTACATCATGCTTGGCATCCAACTGAGAATGGATCTGGGTGATTTATCCTCCAGATGCAAGGAAAATTCCTTCCTTGAATACAAATAGTTATGAATACAAATGCATTCACAGAAAGTTGCAAAAACCTTCCAAAACAGCCACAGAAGCTTGGGAAAGGGACATGACTGCTTTAATAATTAAAAGAAGGTTCTTTCTACAATAGGATTGGATTGGATGAAAGTTCATGAGAAAATCATGGCTAAACTGAAAAAAAAAAAAAAAAAATCCCAGAAGGAACATGCTGCCAAAAAAACCTGCATAGATATGTCTGTGTAATCCATCAGAAAGCAAATTTAACCTGAAAGTACATATATAGTACATACATCACAATATTTTAACTAGTTCATAAAATGGCAGAATTATTGCAATAATTTACAACCTTCCAACTTCAGCTGAACTTTTATGTAAAACATTCCATATCATTAAACCTCCAAGTTTGACTTGAATACTAATGAAACACTGCATTAGCTCTTATTGAATACAACACTGTTGTTTTCCATGTTAAGACCAATTTTCCAAGCTTAAGATATTCCTAATTAAAGGATTCCACTGAATGTATTATTATAAGGGTTCTTTATTGAGACATTGCTTTAATATCATATTTATAGTGCAGTGTTTCAGCCACTTGCTTACTATTATATTAAATCAGCAACGGAGTTTGTTGCTCTACAATTTAAAGGAACGTAAGCTGATATTTTCTTGAAAACATACTTTGTGTTGTGAACTTAGTAATAAAGGAAATGGAAAAGCGAAGAAGGAAGAAGGAAAAATACACTTATCATCGCTCATAATGATTTCAAGGTTGTAACCCAGCCTATTAAATTCAAAAAGAGAAGATGAAGGGCAGATTGAATCCCACAAAACTAATGCAACACCCCACAGCCAGCACCTGATATTATACCATGGTATACGTCTGGGATATAAACTGCATAATTGTATTCATTTATGCTATTTGAACTTCTGTTATTTGTGGCCTTAATTGATAAGCTATCTCTGGGCTTTATTGCCTGCAATAATCCTATCTCTGGGCTTTATTGCCTGCAATAATCCTTTTCCTCTATCTTCTTATATTTGAAATAATCAATACTGGAGTTAGCATTCATCTATTCACTGAATAAAAAGAAACCAGAAAGAAAAAGTTAATAGTGACCAAAAAATCATACAGTTCCATACATTATGTGAGGGGTTTGGAGGAGAGTGGGCTTTGCAATAGTCAAGCTCTGTTATATTGTTATATTGGGTTTTTTTCTGATCTGGAGTTTGCTGTTTTTAATTGCATGAAGACTATTAATGACTTCCATACAATTATTACTATTGTCACAAACAGAAGGGGCTCCAGAATTTGGCAGTACATGCCATTATGGAGAGACAAATGCTCTGTGCCTAATATCTCTTTTCTTCTACCGACAGAACGTTAGCACAATATACATTTTTTGAACCTTGGGACTACCAGATCAGTTTCCACGCTAGAATAATAAGTCAGGATAGTTACCATGTCATCTTCTACTCATCTATTCATTTCTACTCATGCAAGAAACAGTTCAACATTAAGAAAAATAAAACATAAATTGAGGTATGTTACTTAACTCTTAAATACTTAAAAATCATCCCAACATCAAAGTACACATATTCTTTGACTTATGACCAAAATTGAGCCCAAAATTTATGTTGCTAAGCAAGGCAATTATTAAGTGAGTTTTTGCCTCATTTTACAATCTTTTTTATCACGGTTCTTAAGTGAATCACTGCAGTTGTTAAGTGAATCATGTTGTAGTTAAGTGAATCTGGCTTTCCCCACTGACTTTGCTGGTCAAAAACCAGCTGGGAAGGTTACAAATGGGCGATTACATGACCATGGGACAGTGCAACTGTCATAAATACATGCCAGTTGCTAAGCACCTAAACTTTGATCACATGACCATGGGTCTATGTTGCAATGGTTGTTAAGTGTGAAACCCGGTCTAAGTCACCTTTTTTAACACTATTGCAACTTCGAACGGTCACTAAACAAGTGGTTGTAAGTCAAGGACTACCTGTATAGTCCCATAAAAATTATTTAAGTAATCACCAGGGTATTCAAATCATATTCCAATAGTTACTGGAAATAAAGAAAATTACTATACACCTAAAGTGCCTCATTTATCAATCAGCATTTTAAGGGACATAGACAACTATGTCAGCAAGTTTAATTATCAATAGTTTTCCATTACCATCTGTCATCTATGATCAGTTATTCAGAATCCATTTGTAATGTATATTTTTCCCAAGCTAGAGATTCTAGGTATCCAAGCTGGAAAGTCTCCATGATATAATGAAAAGCAATTTAAGAGTAATTCCAAACTTCTACAAATCACCTATTTAAAAAGATGTAATCTGAGGTCATTTATATCATTTTTTACAGAAAAGCTCAATATATACATTTTTTTTTGTTTTTCCATGAGATGCCAATTCCATCACTTGGCCTATTTAATCCCTAAGCCTTTCTGCACAGCTACGCCTCTAGGTAAAATCCTTAACTTTTGGAAAGATCAATTTGGAACCACTTTCTATCTTTCTATATGTAATCCTCGGCTTATGGCAGCTGTTTAATAACCATCCAAAGTTACGATGGACTTGGAAAGGGTGCTTTATGGCCCCAAAAGTCCTTCTGGCTGTCATAAAATGTTGCATCATCCCCCGCTGCAGTTACATAGGAATGGCACTTAGACTTATATACCGCTTCACAGTGTTTTACAGCCCTCTGTAAGCGATTTACAGAGTCAGCATATTGCCCCCAACAGTTTGGGTACATGATCGCAATATGGATGCTTGGCAACCTATTCTCACAACCAGTTACAAAGTGCCCCACAATCATATGATTAACGTTTACAATCTTCTCCAGAAAGTCAGTGGGGAAGCCAGGAAGAAAGGTTACTGCTGCCTGCCAAGAGGAGCCCGTCTTGTCTCTGGGGACTAACTCAAAGACCAGCCCTGCTGAGTGGAGCTGAGCAATTTTGGCAGTAAATGCCGGAGAGTCCTAAGTGAAGGACTGGTCATAAGTCACCTTTTTCAGTGCTGTCGTAAGTTGGAATGGTCACTGAACGATGGATGCAATTTGAGGACTACTTGCAATATATCTTTCCTTGAAGCTGCCCCTATTATCTCTTGCAGTGACACAGACATTTCATGAAAACAAATGTCAGGAAAAATTTAAAAATGAACTTTCAAGTGATGTGTATAGTTATGAAAGTTGAGAAAAAAGCAAGAGAAATGTGATACTCTACTAAGAACCTTTTAAATTATGGATTTAGAGCTGATTATTAAGAGCACTATACCGGACTTACAGACAAGGAATCATAATAGGAAACAGCAAAGGAATATATGTCCCTTCAGAAAGGGAAACCACAGATAGACAACAGGACTCATAGAATAGATTTTGCAATCAAAACTGCTCTGCTGAAGAAAATCTCTATTCCACAGACTGGAATAAATGGATGTATTATGAACTTCTGTTTTCCTCTCAGCAAATCCACCTCATCAACATTGTCACTGTCTATAAACCAACTCTCATGAGAGCTAACAAGGAGAAGGAAGATGTCTATGAACCATGAATGTGGACCAGGTTATTCAAACCTCAATGGCTATAATTCTGAAACTGTCATCATTCTGGATGACTTCAATGCCAGGGTGCAAACAAATAGCAACAACTGGGATAGAGTCCTTGGGACGCATGGGGTGGGGAAACAGTAATAGCCTGAGTACAACCTAAGTATGCTGAGTACAACCCGTGCCTCACTTACACAATATTCAGATTTGCAAACAAATACAAACCTAATAGGATGTATCCGAGTTTCAAACAGTGGCACTTACATCATAATACATCTGCATAATATTAAAGACCTCACCTGAGCCATGCAAAGTACTGAGTGCTGGACAGATCAGAGGTTGGTCCAGTAAGTGCTCAACCTGTACAAAACCCCTTTATGCCATATGCAACCAAGGGTTGTAAAAACATCATTCAACACTGGCTGGCAGCAAGACTCAGGATAAGTCCAATGTTTTCAAGATATACTTAATGAAAAACCCTCTAGCAATTTACCTTTTGTAGGAACCTGTTCTGAAAAGTGGATGCAGTTTAAAGATGTCCTTATACAGATTGCAACAACTGTTCTTAGACTGAAAACACAGATGCACCAAGGCAGGCTTGATGAAAACCACAAGGCCATTTTAGTAGCCCTCCAGACCAAAAACAAAGCCTATATAGACTGGCAGATTGAACCATTATTAATCTCAAAGAAAGGTAAATTTGAAGTACCAT